CGATGGCTTCCCAAATTAAGTTCTTCAAATTCTACCGAATCAAGTTTGTATGTTGGAATTTTCTCGGTTATAATGGGTTGTGCCATTTGTTTTGCCATCTAGCATATTGCCTTATCTAAGTAAGACCACATATACTCCACGAATTTGGTTAACAGTTGAGTTTAATGAAGTCATCCCTTTGGTGGAGATCCTTAAAGCATCTCCTATAGGAGGTTTTGGAACAGGTTTGAAATTTTAAACCTGTAGGTTTTCTATTATTTGGCACAGGTTTAAGGTTTGTGAATGCAAAACAGGTTTGAGAATCCAAACCTCTTAAATGTCCAAAAATTAAAAAAGGAATAAAAAGAAAGAGAAAGAAGTGCTGGGAGCGTGAGGTATGTCCATTGAATTTCTAATTGAGAATTGTAGGCATGCGCTACAAGTTGAGTTAAAGAGAGGATGGCTACACCTTCCTACTTTTTCTATGTGACACAAATTATTTACAATGTAGTGGATATAAATTATTTTGGTTTCTGTAAAACATCCTTCCATATTTCTATGACATAAATAATTTTACAAAAATTAAATTGAAGTTCAATTTTTATTAATGACCGAAAATTAAAATTTTATAAATTTTGTTTTAACGAAAACCAAAAAACATGTAATCTTCTAACATTCTATAATTATAAATAATGTAGTATAATTATATTATTATTTTTATATGTATTTATGATATATATATAACATTTAGATTAAATAAAAATAAGTTAATGTTATAGTTTTAAAATATTAATAAAAATTAAGTGGAAACATGTGGGACCCATAAAAAGGAAGTTTATGAGGTTTATTGTTATTGGAGATTGGAAAAAGCTATTTGTAGATTGGAAAAAGCTATTTGTACAACATTCAATGACAGCATGATGTGGCATGATGTGGGTGGTTGAGATGCAAATAAATGTATGGTTGATATTTGTGTTAATGATACTTTTAATTAGGTTGTCAACCAATGTTGTAAACTACAATGGTGTAAAAAGACGTTTATAGAGTTTGGTTGTTAGAGATGCTCTTATTCGGGGTCTAGACAATGTCGTAAAATATTAAATAAAAAAAATATTTATATTTCCATAGATAATATTCCATTTACATTGTTAATACTTAATATTGAATAAATTAATATAGTCAAATGCAAAAATTACCTAAAATATAATATATATATAAGTAACTCTTGTATTAATTTTAGTGTAATTATAATTTTATAATATAATAATGTATATATTTATGTATAAAAATAAAATATATTTTATTATATTTAAAAAGGTAAAATAAAAATGGCTCCGGCAAGAACACCTAATTAGCCTAAGTGTGACATTTTCAACTATCTAGCCCATCTAGGCATTGTCTAGCCCGCTCAGTCGACCGAGCAGCTAAAACAGCCTCCTAAGCAAGAGTCGTGATTCTTGTGTTCCTTAAAATTGGTGTCTACCCAATTTATAGAGGATTATTTATATAATACCAACTAGTACGTAACCCATGCGATGCACGGGATGTAAAATTTGGAAGAATAATATAACCTCACGTGCATTAGGATCGAAATTGAAATCATTAAAATAGATAGGAACATTGTTGAATCATAAAAAGTTCGGTAACAATCATATATTATTAAAAACCTCTTTGTATACAACATTATGAGTTTGATTATTTGGTAACTTCTCATTATCACAAACTAATATTTTCAAAAGAGACAATTTCCTAAAAATCAAACTAATATTTTTGGTGAACAAACTAATATTTTAGGATTGGTGAACAAACTAATATTTTAGGATTTCTAGGATTTGTCTCTTTTTGGTGAACAAACTAATATTTTAGGATTTGTTATATGAATAAGGCTACCTGTTTTTGGTGTTCTTTTCATTCATTTTCATTCAAACAATCCGATGACTTGTATAATGAAATCCAAATCTTAAGCCGAAATATTTAAAAAAAGAGTTTTTAAAAATTGAAAAGTCAAGACAATCAGTTCAGATTAATTAAAGGTCAAAGAATATCCGCTCCTTGAAATAAAGACGTGTGTTATCATTAACCAAATATCCGGTTATTGATATAGAGTGGTTACCAAAAAATAGAACGCGATAAGGACGCCTCATAGAAATATCAATGGGATAAGGTCATAACAGATACATTTTAAGGATAAAAGCTCAGATGGAATGGTTTATGATAATTATGTCGTAATTAATAAATTAATTAGATGTGTGAAAATGACATAATTAATGAGAAGTGTGAAAAAGACATAATTAATGAAAAGTGTGAAAATGACATAATTAATGAGAAGTGTGAAAAAAGACATAATTAATGAGAAGTGTGAAAAGGACAAAAACTTACCAGTTTTAAAAAATATTTAATGCAAATCCGACATTGACCATAATTTGACCTACTATTTTGAATAAATGTTAATTCTTATTATATAAGTATAGATGACAAAACTCACTAAAATATGCAAGCCTGAAACCTTTGTCGGTTTGAAATTTGTAGGAAAGAAGCTAAAATAACAATTACAACTAGCATGGTGGAACCTAATTGATAATAACAAACATCTTTTTAGTTAAGTTGCCACTGAATTCTAGGGTTCCATTTTTATTTACTTTTTCATTATCTATGCTTGTATAATTTATTTTTTTGAGTTGAAGAAAGTGGAGAAAAATCCATGGCATAGCTTATATTTTTTGCTAGAGGGAGTTGTTAGATTCCAATCAATTGAATTGGGCTTTGCTTTTGTTTAGTAAAAAGAACATAAAATCTTGGGACAGATATTGGAGGTGAGTGATTGGAAGATTAGTTGATCCTCCACTTGTACTTGTTGGCTGCTTCTCATCATTCATCATTCAATCAAGACTTTCTGGCATCGCATTAATTTATCAAATACCATGGATCACCACATTTTGGATATTGCTAAATCTTATTTAAAAATAAATAAAATGAAAACGACAGTAGTTTTTATATATTTATAGTGACAAAGATAAAAACTAGTTTTTTTTTTATTTCTTTTCAAAGGAGTCACTTTAATAACTAAAATCCAAAACGAGTACAGAGGGGTGTCAACTGACCTCAACTGACCTCAAATAATCAGATAACCTGGACTTACCTCCTTGAAGTCCAGATGAAATCAATGGGTACAACTCCAACGAAGTGTCAATCGCAAATATAAAACGAAACTCCAGAAAGGAGACTAAAGCCAGACGAAGTTGGACTAACAAAATGGAAAGAAAAAAAAAATGCACACATAATGTACAATAAACTAAAACTTTCCCTACACCAGACAGACCCAACGCACGACCACCCAAGTCGGAACATGAGCCACTTCCAATAGCACAGATATCCAACAAAGCAGCAAATCAAAACCTCAAATTTGAAAATTGCGGCCACTCACGCCCTATGATGGATCTGATGAAGAGTCGGTTACCGATTCAGATCTGGACTCTAAACAATCTACCACGTCGGGAGAGGGGTCGAGCCACCACAAAGACACCAAAAAACCTGCCGAAGGGCTCCATAGATGGTCCTAATGCACAACCGAGCGTACCCTTGGATTCTACACCTGCGGAACAAAAGCCTAGACGCGCCGACGGACTCCAGGGTTTAGAAGATAGATGCTGACGACCAGCGACTCTACATTGGTGTTTGTTGTGATTTTGTGGCATTTTTTCGTGTATATTTTGTGCCTTAGTCGTGTATTTTTAGGTTCGTTTTAGTGTTGACCGGTCAATTTTATCGTGTCTTGGGTATTTTTGTTCTCGTCTTGTATTTTTGTGTTTCGACGTATTTTCTCGTCTCTTTTGGTGTTCATTAGGTCCATTTTACCGAGCTTGGGAAAATGAGTCGTCCGAGCCGACCGATCCGTCTGAGCCAACCGAGCCGTCCTGAGATCCAACCGAACCATTTTCGAGCCACCCGAGCCGTCCCAGGCCCTAACTGAGTCCTAGCCCGCGCACTAGCCATGCCCTGCACTCGCTGCGAGCTCCAAATCGCGAGCGGCCAAAACGACCCCTGCCAGCTGCCCGGCCTCGCTGCGAGCCCATGTCCACGAGCATCCTTAAGTCTAAAGTACGGAAAAGATTGGATTCAAACTATCAGACCACCACGGTAGATGTGGTTCGAACCCGCACGCGCTCGCCAGCAAACGCCCTATCGCGAGAACGCGACCCAGCGCACCTCTCTCCAACAAGCGCCCTGTCGTGAGCGCGCGACCCTGGCGCGTGGCAAACCCGCGCCAAAGTCGCCAACGAGTTTCATCCCGCGCCGGCGCGAGTCCAGCAGCGCGCTAGCGAGCCTGAGGTCGCGACCCGGCGAGCGCCGCATGCCAGCCCGTCCTACCACTTTGCACACTTGTTGCGATCTTTGTTTCGAGACCCAACGAGCTGAAAAATTCATTAAATGTGCGTGTTTGGTGTAGCTATATGTAGCCATCTTGCTTTGTATTTTTTGACACCACCTCATTTCCAAACTTTTTAGTTGGGAAATTAGCTCTCTCTATTTATTTTTCTTTCTAGCTTTGTGTTGGAAGCTCCTTGACTCATATTTTTCGGTGATTTTTTTGCGACTTTTATTTTTGTCCAAGATTTGAGTTTTCGCATTATTTTCGTCCGAGCTTGCGATAGGAGAGTAAGTTCCTTGATTAGGACTTATTACTTGGAGTTTGTTTTTCTTCTTGCTTGTGAAGTTGGTATTTTGGCCATAATTTGGTGTGATGCTCGATTTTAGGATTTTACTTTATTTTTATTACTTGCTTAAGTGTGTTAGGAGTTAATTTCGTGCTTATCTTGTATAAAAGTCTCGACTTTGCTTAAAGAAAGATGAATTAGTAACGAGGCTCGGTGCAATCAAAGTTTGATCCTTTCTTCCAAATTTCATCTTCTTTAATTGCTTTTAATTGCTTAGCTTAATGTACTTCAAATCAACCCCCAATCAAGCGAGTAGCATGTTTAGGACCTTATTTTCGTTTTTGTGAATTGACGACTACATCGTAAATGAAGCTCCGAACAACCTTCCTCCGAGAAGATGATCCGAGGTCGATATTTATTCTGTACTCGGCTAAAAGCCTACAAACACTTGGCTGGGGAGATGGCGAAGCGGCGAAGGCCAACCCCTACCAATCACCCGCCACGCTTTGGAAGAGGCCGAAAAAAGAGCCCCCAACCATGACTCAGTGAATCTGGCTTCGGAAGTGCGGCGACATGAGGGTTGTGGATTGCAAGGAACATGGGCCTGGTTTTTTCTTTTTTTTTTTTTTTTTTCTTTTCTTGATTGTAGGAAGAAGAGGCCCCTCGCGCGTGCAGAATAGTTTCTGATTTTTGTGGCAGAGATTGGTTGGGCAGCACAAATTTCACATTTTGTGGTGCATGGTGGCCGAACATTAACAGTATGTTTGGTAAGCATTATAAACTAGCTTATAACTTGTTTGGTTAGCTTATAAGTTTCATGTATGGAAATAAGATTGATCTAGTGGATGAACATTTTTAAAAAGCCGGAGCTTATCTCATAAGCTTTTTTTGGTAGCTTTTCAAATAAGTCCATTGAATTTTTCAAATGCTATCAACTAACTTATCAGCTTGGTTTACCAAACATAGCCACTAGTTTGTTTGGTGAACCGTAACGTATTGTTGATCAAAATCATATATAACTATTTTAAGTTACATTTGAAATGTTACGTTTTATTAGAGCACCCACAATGCTTTGGGTCTCTTTAAAAAAAATCTCATGCCATGTAGGAAATAGACCTAGTCTATAAAAAATTGTTTCACAATGCAATTAAAAGCGGACCTAGTCTAGCTTATGTGGCAATAAAAAAAGAGACCAAGTCCACTCTTGGGTCTATTTTGGACCCAAGTGTGAACCTTACAATAGCAATCATTTACTGTTATTATATTTTTATTGGTTGTTAGGTATTCTAGACCTAGTACTTTTTTTTTTTTTTTTGCATTGGATAGATTTTGGATTTTTTTAGCTTGGGTTTGCCCATGTCATTATAGACTTAAGTCTATTTATTTGCCGCATATGTAAAAAGAGACCCAAAGTATTGTGGATGTTCTTAATGTTTTAAACAACTATTAGACGCTCGCGAAGTGAATGATTGGGGCCTAGCGCCTAGATGGAAATTAGACATAGCGCTGTAAATTATTATTTAATATATTTGTATTTATCATTATATACTTTTTTTCCAAACAATAAATTTTCATAGCACCAACTCAAAGATACAACATTTTTTATATTATATAAAATAAATTTTTATATTTTATCATTATATACAATAAATTCACAAGGAGTGTATCATTCTCTCGTCTGGGAGGTCTATTTCTCTCATTGAGAGGAACCCTAATTCCGATTTTCTTAATCAATAGAGTGCTTCAATTCCTCTCTTATGAGAGCTTCTCTTTCAATCTCTGCTAAGATTTCTACTTCTCCAAACCACTTCTCAAACCAAACAAGCCTAGAATCTACTCAATCTCCCACTTTGAAAACTACACCTTAGAACTTTCGAGATGGAAGCCAGGGTAACAGAATCCCACAATCCCTCTAATGAAACAGACGCATTGGTGGCTAGGATCAAGAAAATTGATCTTTCAAATTCCAAAAAAGATATTATTGAATTGGGAAACGAGGACGTCCAAATCAGCGAAGAAGAGTGCTCGAGAAGCCTATTCGGGAAAATTATCGGCAAAAGAAAAGCTTCTCTTATAGGAATCAGAAGAACGGTGACCGCGATATGGCAAATCAGCAACCAACTAGAGGTACGAGAGCTAAACACAAACTTCTTTTAATTTATATTTGGCAGCCCGGAAGATAAGAAAAAAGTCCTAAATGGGGTAAATTGGATTTTCGAAAACCAATTCTTCATTCTGCGTGAATGGGAAGAAGGTCTTTCAGTTAATCACCCGGGGTTCAGAGATTTAACATTTAGGTGCAAGCTAATAACCTCCCCCTTAATTGGCTAAGCACTGAAGTTGGAATGAAAGTTGGCTGCATTTTTAAAAAAACCAAGAATGTAACAGTGATTAAACCAGGTGGTACAAGAGGTAGCTATCTCAGGCTCCTAGTTACTGTTGATGTGTCAAAGCCACTACCGAGATGTGTCCATTTAAAGCTAAATAACCAGCTAATAGTAGTGGGCTTTCAGTATGAGCGCCTGCTTAGTATGTGCTACTATTGTGGAATGCTTGGACACTTGGATAAAAACTATACTGCAAGACTTGAGGACATAGCAAATGGAAATCCAAAGGAAGGGCAATTTGGAGAGTGGCTCAGAGCTGCAGAAGGTAAATATGGAGGAATCATCCCTTCATCAAACCAACCAAGCAGTCAGCAAAGAGATTGCCCACCATTGGCAGCAGAAGCTCCTTACCAATCTTCTGGAAAAGAAAACACACAACCATCTCCAGGAAGTAAGAACTCTCAACTCTCTGCAAGAAACCAAGACAACAGCCTATCTCAGGAAGGGATGAACTCAGATTCTCTACTCATTCACATAAACAAGCAGAAAACACTAATAGCCAAGAAGTGAAAACCAAACATGGCCAGAGGAGGAAACTATGCTAGTGGAAGTTCCCTTGACCACAACCTCTATGAGAATTACAACAATGCATGAAGACCATATCATAGAGGAGGAAATTACAGAGCAAAAGCAAGAGAACTTTAGTGATGAACAAAGGGGGAACAGAGAAGATAACAACACTCCAAAGAAGAAATGATGGAAAAGAACAATAGTGGCAGACGAAAGACTCTTGAAAAACAAAGAAAAGGCAGAAGAACAGTCCCAAACACAACACAGAAAAAGAGCCTACTCTCAGGAAAATGAGGAATCTGAGGAAAAACCAAAGTCACAACCAAATGCCAGCTAGTAACAAAAGAATGAAAAACAAAATGGAAGAGGCGGAAGAGGCCAGCCTAAATGGCCCCACCTTTCCCAATGAACATATTGGCATGGAACTGTAGAGGTTTGGGGGACCCTCTACAGTTTCCCAATTGAAGGAGACCACAAGAATCCACCCCCCAAGTTTTATCTTCCTTGCTGGAACCAAAAAAAAAATAATAATTTTGTCAAAATTGTTTGTAAAAAACTAGATTTCCAAGATAGATGGGTAGCTTCTGAACCTCAGGGTATGAGTGGAGGTATTTTTCTTATGTGGGCAAGAGAAGTTAAAATAATTCAAATAATCAAAAGCAGTTTTTGTTTTGAAGTAGAAGTTGACAATAAATTAAATAATGACTCTATCTGGTTTATATTTCTCTATGCCAGTGCTAACAAGGTGTGCAGGGAGGATCAGTGGAGATATTTGGAAAGAGCCAGTACTAAATGGGGACATGACTGGGTGATTGGAGGAGACTGGAATGAAACCCTTCATCCCTCTGAGAAGAAAGGAGGCAAAATGAGAACTGCAAGGGAATTGAATGGGTTCCAAGATTTCTGTGCCAGAATGAGTATGCATGATATAAGCATGGAAGGCCACAAATTCACCTGGGAGAATAAAAGAGCAGAAGAGGGCTATATTGAGGAAAGGCTCGACAGATTTTTTTCCTCTTATAGATGGATGGCAAAGCACCCAAGAGCTAGAGTCCTAAACATATTCAGGGGTGCTTCGGACCACTACATGCTAATCCTCCAAGAAGAGCCTGGCCAGTATCTGCACAAAAAAAAGAGATTTTACTTTGACAAGAGATGGCTTAAAGTAGAAGGGGTCAAAGATGTAGTGAAAGCAGCTTGGGAAATTCCCAAATCAGGAACCCCAATGCATCAGGTGGCAGAAAAAATAAAAGAAGTAAGAGTTAGCCTGCTGAAATGGAGCAGTGGATTCAGAAAAGAGCAAGAGTAAAAAATGGCCTGATTGACAAATAAACTAGAAGAACTCAGAAACCAAGGAAGCTCAAGGGACTGGAGTGAGTGGATTAGCAGGAAAAAGGAGTTGAAGATAGAACACAAAAAGGAAGCTGAATATTGGAGTCAAAAAGCCAGACTCAATTGGCTTCAAGAAGGAGACACCAACTCTAAATATTTCCATTCAGTCACTCTCCAGAAGAGGCAAACAAACAAAATAGCAGGACTCAAAAATGAAGAAGGAAACTGGTGTGAAACCCAACAGGAAATTGAAGAGTGCATATCATCTTACTTTAATACGATGTTCACCTCTGAGGGATCCTATGAAGATGAGCATATCCTGCAGAACCTTACCCAAGTCATTACAGATGATATTAACAAACGCCTTATAGCCATGGGCGAAGCTACATGTACTCATAGGGGGGCAATTGCCTTCCCTCAAATTTTAATTTTTTTTACTATTAATATTAAAAATTTTAATTTGTTTAAATTTATTTTTGCACCCCCAGATGTTTTGGTTTTAAACGCACTCACCAAGCTAACTTGTCCACAATTGTCAATTAACAATTCAACACTTCTTTTATTTTACTATTAATTATGTATATTAATTATTATCATTCTACAATTTTAATTAGCCCATATAAAAGACTTCAACTTTCTTTAACTGCCTAGGCTAGGATTGGTATTTTTTGACCGATTATCAAAAACTGAACCGAACCGAGCTGATGAGAAAATAAACCGAACAGAACCGACTTATGTGTACCGGTAACCGAAAATCAGTTATCGAAATGTTATCGGTTCGGCATCAATTATGAACCCATTATGTCATGTCTTTTGCCCCCTCTCAAATATTTTCTGGTTTCGCCCCTGTTTATAGCCCCGGTTTCAGAAGAGGAGATTACAGAGGCCCTATTTAGCATGAATCCCCTCAAAGCTCCAGGACAAGATGGTATGTCCCCTATTTTTTTCCAAACTTTTTGGTCTTCAATTAAAGACGACATATGTAAAGCCATTTGGAGTTTTTTTCTTATTCTTGTCAACTTTATGAAAACTGGAACCACACACTCATAACACTTGTTCCTAAATGCCAAAACCCTGAAACCTTAAAAAATTTCAGACCCATAAGCCTATGTAGTGTGACTTATAAAATCATTTCCAAAATACTCTCAACAAGACTTAAACCTCATCTCTATCATTGCATCAGTGTAAACCAATCAGCTTTTGTTAAATACAGACAACTTCTAGATAATGTCATAATAACACAAGAAATTATCCACTTCCTAAACATGCATAGAACCGGCAAGCATAAATATATGGCTATAAAATTAGATATGGAGAAGGCCTTTGACAGGGTTGAATGGAAATGTATCAGGAAGATTCTTCTAAAATTTGGCTTCCACCCTACTTTTGTCAAATGGGTTCTTGCATGTATAACTTCTACTGTCTTCTCTTTCAACTTAAATGGAGAGCTTAAAGCTTTTATTAAAGCTACAAGAGGAATAAGGCAGGGGGATCCCCTTTCCCCGTACCTCTTCATTCGTGTTTCAGAGGTTCTTACTAGGTTGGTTAAAGCTGAGCAGGACAAGGGCAATTTTGCACTCATCTACTCTTTGCAGATGATGCCTTGATTTTCAGCAAGGCAGAGGTTAACCAAGCTTATACTCTTCTTAATGGGCTTCATAGATATAAATTATTTACTGGTCAAAAGGTTAACCTATCTAAATCATCTGTTTTCTTTAGTAAAAACACAAATGTGAATGTCAGAACTGAGATTTGTCAGATACTTGATGGAATCAAAGTTCAAACATCTACCAGGTATCTTGGCTTACCTCTGGGCATAGGTAAGTCAAAGAGAGAATGTTTTAATTATGTAATTGAAGCTGTTAGATCCAGGTTGGTGAGCTGGAAGAACAGATTTCTCTCCACTGCTGGCAAGGAAATCTTATTAAAATCTGTGATCAATGCTATGCCTATTTTTACCATGTCTTATTTTTATCTTCCTAAAGGTATTTTCCAGGTCCTGCAAAGCTTAAGTGCCTCATTCTGGTGGTCTAAGGGTGATAATATGCAACCAGGAATGCATTGGAAGAAGTGGAATGCAATTACAATACCTAAGCAAGATGGAGGGTTGGGTTTTCATGATATCCTACTATTTAATGAGGCACTTATACTCAAACAAATCTGGAGAGTGGCCACAAAACCCAACCTTCTAGTGAGCAAAGTGTTAAAGGGAAAATACTTCCCATCTACATCCATACTGAAGGCTGGCACACCTCAAAATGCATCCTGGATGTGGAGGAATTGGATGAAGGTGCTGGATAAACACAAGGCTGCATTCAAGGTGAATATTAGAAATGGGAGGAATACAACTATATGGAATGACCCCTGGATACCGAGGCACCCCACTGGATTCCCTACTCCTCAAGGTGCAACAGCTTGCAACTTCAACTGGGTGGAAGAATTAATGAGTAATGAAGGCAGAAGCTGGGATGAAGACAAATTGAAGGCCTTATTCAATGCTGAAGATGTGGAAAGGATGAAGAGCATCAACTCACTCAACCCCTCAATGAATGACAAATGGAGCTGCACCTATGACAAGAAAGGTATCTTAACAGTGGCTACTACTTACTCATACTTGATACAGAATAAGTTGAGAGATATGGACATAGCAGAATGTAGCTACAGTATGGAAATGAATAGGAAGCCTAGAAGAAGAAGCTGGAAATTGCACCATTAAAGGCAAACTGAAACATTTTTTATATAAATGTTATGCCGGTGTCTTGCCTGTTAACACTGAATTGAGGAGAAGAGGATTGCTTGTGGAACTATATGTCAGGTATGTGGGAAAGAAGCAAAGACAATTGAACATGTACTTCTAAACTGCACTAGAGCTAGAATGGTCTGGAAATTATCAATGCTTAACTGGGATGGCATAGACAATCACAAGGACAACTTCAGAAGTTGGTGGTGGAGTGCATGTGCAGTAGATAAAAAGATCATTTCAGAAGAAAGACTTCAGTTGTCCACATACATATTGTGTGGTGGCTCTGGAAGTCGAGAAATCTCTTCATATTTCATAACTCTCTAATGCCCGAGCCTCAGGTGGTAAAAGCTGCGTGGAATGAATGGATAGAATTTGTTCAAGCCAACTCACTAAAGAAGAAGTAAGAGCTTATGGCAAGGCTAGGTCTCCAAGGAGTTCAGTGGCCACACATACATATATGTTTACTTCTTACTTTATAGAGTTGGTGTCATTTATTCAAATTGTCTTAATATGTCTAAGGTTCAAGTTCCCCTTGCTTAGATGTATTATCTATTTGTATTACCTTGTTTAGGCCTCCTACATGGGTGGTTCTCCCTTGAACTATTGGGACTATTTAGTCTCACGGCTTGTACATTATTATTTGAATAAAATCTATCGTTTTGGAAAAAAAAAAACAATAAATTCACAAGATGCATGCATTATATCATATGTACTAATTATAAATAAAATTATTTAAATTTTTGGTAATTAGTTTGTTATATCATTTTTATTGCTATGCAATTATTCTCATTACAGTCTCTCTGACAACAAAACTATACATTAATTCTTTTATTTCTTTCACTAAAACTATATACATTAATTTGTCCACAAATATATATATATATATTAACTGAAACTATACACCTAGTGAGGTTTGCCTGCCATACCATACCAAGATAAAAAATGATACATAGCCAACCTATTGTACAACTAGGTTAACAACATAAGTGGAAACATCCACTTGTGTATTTTTTTTTTTTTTTTATTTTTGTGAATGTTTTTTAGTTGTATTGTCAACTTAGTTGTACACTACGTTCGCAATGTAGCATTTCTCAACTAAGATTTAATTATATATTTATAGTAGAAAAATATAATTCTATTATTTTTAAAATACGATAATTTATTATAAAAATATATTACAGTATGAATGGTTAGTCAATTATATATCATATTATTAATATGCACTACTTCCTTTTAAATAAGGTCAACATCAATAATCAATTATTTGACAAGTTCTAATTTTTAATATCATTTAATATTATAGTGGATGTAAATATATACATTCTTAAATTCATTCTCAACTCAAAATCTAACTCAACCTTTAATTTAACTTCATTATCATCACTATTATTAATATAATTAAGTAATATTAATAAGTCATCATTGCACATCACATCAACTTTAATTTACTATTCATTTACTTATATAATTTTAACTACCTATCACTTTCAATCATTTATATCCTACTTTTACATCAAATTAGTTTTAATTATTTAATTTAAATATTATTTTAATACAAACTTAAAATCTAACTAAACTAACTAAATCAATTTTTTTTCAAAACAAATAATAGTAACAAAAAAAATCGATCAAATATATACTAATATATCTATGGCCTTGTTGGCGGTCAGCGGATATCAGATTATATTAGCTGATTTGACCAACGGATTGCATTAGCGGTTTTTAAATAAGTGTTTGGTAATAGCTGAAAGCTTATAGCTGTTTGACATTGCAAAATGACCAATAAGGATATTTTATTATTTAGGGTGTATTTTTTTAATAATAATATATTAAAACATTTAATATTCTTTAGTTGGTAATTTATAAATACTAGTATTTGATCTTGTACATTTGCACAGATATAAAACATGTTTTTGTTTGTATTTATTAATAAGACATTTACTTCTATCATATAAAGATTATTACTTTTTCTTAAGTTATTTTTATCATTCAAAATTAATTGAGATTTAAATTTTATTTTAACCACGCAACGTTTACATTAGTAACATGAATAAAATAATTTATATATTTGTGGCATAAATTAAGAAAATTGACATAAATAAAAAAAATAATTAGTGTTTCTAATTTTCAGATAAAAAAAAATATGTGTCAATCATATTTTTCTTCCAACAATGCAATCAAATATAGCGGTTACAGTTCTGAATGTGTCAATCAACTTTAAGTTCCAACATTAACTGTTACACATTTGAATATTTTGCTACCAAATTTAGAATTAATTTAGTAATTGATCCAAAAAATAAATAATAAAAATATATATATTAAAGTGTAACGATTTTAGCAGATTAGTGAGTAATTAATTAAAAAAAAATGTAACTCCTTTTGAATGGAAATGAAAATAGGTTTTATTAAATGTTTGATTAAATGCATCAGCTAGTAATTATATATATATATATATATATATATATATATATATTATTCTTTTTTAAATTTACTAACACTTGATGAAGAAGTTATGAAAGTTACATTTTTCTAGATAAATTAATCATATGGATGACATATTATTATCACTACAAAAAAAATGTTATTTTCCAACGGAAAATCCTATGGTAATATATTCCAATGGATATTCCAATGGTATAGCTTCCATTGGAATGATTCCAACAGAAATTCCAACAAAAATATTACGTTGGAATGCATTTTTCATTGGAATTTTAGATGAAACTTGATGATTCCAGCGGCTATATTTCCAGCGGCTTTTGACCGTAGGAATTTCCGTTGGAATTTTTATTTCCACAACCGTTGGAAAATCTACCGTTGGAATCGTCAAAATCCAACGAAAATTCCAATGGAAAACTCATTCCAACGAAATATTTTTGTTGGAATTTCCGTTGGAATAATTCCAACGGAAATAACAGCATTGAAATATCCATTGGAATTGCCGTTGGAATTCTATTGGAATATATTTTCGTTGGAATTTCATCATTTTATTGTAGTGTATTTATTAGCACCATAAACCAATGTAGCTTGTAAAATAAATAAAACAAATTAAAAAGTTGTAGATAAATTAATCATATTAATTTTACATTTTTGTGAATCTTCTATTCCCAAAACGCTGCTCTAATGAGCTTTTTCTAAATTAGAGTTTTGGGCCCAAAAAACTTATCAAATACGCTATTTACCAAACAAACTCAATAGCGGATTTGACCGATCAAGCATCTCAATTAAGTCCAATCCGCTAATTATCTTCAATCTACTATCTACCAAACGGGCCCTATATCTAAAAGTGTACTAATATTGCAAAATGTTGAGTGAAATCTTAATATAATAATTAAAAAAAAAAATTGCTCCACGCGGAGAAAGCTTGGTCAATGTAGAGCGTGTGAACAAAGTTAATAACGCTTGTTACATAATAAGGTCACAGTATTAAAGTTACCAACCCTTTTTACACAAGGTCAAAAGTAATAATCAATTATTTGACTCTTTATTCAGATGTACACGAGTGGTTTTGTAGGTACGGTACCTATATTAAGGGCCCTAATTTTTGCGCGTTTACTTATATATATATATATATATATATATATATATATATATATATATAGGATGTGGTTCAAATAAGAACCAAGTTCTAGTGTGAGAACCGTGAGAACCGCTATTTTTAATTGTATGTAGTGCTATGATTAATTGTGTTTTAGTGCTATTTTTAACTAGGATGTATTTGATTAAAAATAGCAACAAAATTTTTATTAGCATTTATGAAAATGATAGCACCATGTAATATTAAAAATAGCATCATACACAATTAAAAATAGCATCAAATATGGTTCTCACGGTTCTCACACCAGACATAGTTTTTATTTGAACCAGTCCCTATATATATATATATATATATTCTTGAGGAATTTACATCCTATACTATTAAATATAATTTATACTACATACTAGTGTGCATTCTGTGCGATGCACAAACAGGCTTATTACTTAAAAAAAAAATTTAAAATTTTATCTTAAATATAGTTATTTATATTTAACATTACGTTGCAAGAAAAGACATACAAAATATACAAAAATCATATATTTATTTGTTTAGATATAATGTGTCTCTACAACCAAATCAATAACATCTAACGCGTGATATATAATAAAATTAATTATATGCACCGTCATGATTTTAACTGATATAAACTATTTTGTTTTTTAAACATTTTTATTTCATTTATTGTACATGTAATACGAATTTTCTTAAATGTGAAATTCCTATATTTAAAAAAAGATATGTGACATTAATGTGATTATTGCAATCAATTAGCTGTGAATAATATTTTGATGATTAGGAATTTCATCTATTTGAAATTTATATTTTAAAAAAATAGCGTGTTGGTTAATCAAGGAAATGTGATATTTGTTCAATTTATTGTCGTAAATGTAGTGTTTGTACAACAAATAATATAAATAATTCATAAAATAAAAGTTGATTTGTAAGATAAAAAATTGAGATAAATATTGTTAAACAAACTAGTGCGTGGCCCGTGCGATGCACGGGAAAACAAAATTAGAATTATAATATAAATTAAATATATAAGTAACAATAATTATGATTTATCTATTATTTTTAAATTAAACCGGGTTGGACACAGTCCGACGGGATGGACCGAGAACCGATTTATAATCAGTCTAGTTCGCTTAAATAAAATATTTGCTATCAAATCCGTCAACACCAGTCGGTTAGACTGGTAGGATCGATACGATTTTCTAAATAAATTTTGTTACATTTAAAATTATTTTAAATAAAATTATATATTTAAATAAAATAGAGATTTATAAATTGTTTATCAATTAGTTTAAACATTTGAATAAATTGTTTAGATATTTAAGTAACACATTTTATTTAAATTTATTACAAAAAGTACTATATATATATTAAAATGTTTATAAATTAAAATCTGAACAAACCACAAATGATCTAATAGTATAAC